ATTTATTCTAGATTGAAAAGGCTACAAGTGGGCAAAAAAATCGACCAAACCAATCAAATTGAACGACTCAAGTCGATTCAAGTTAGTTTGAGACAGAAAAATTGGCTTGATTTTGTTTTTTTTTTAAACAAAACTATGGTGAGTCTATTCAGGCATGGCTTGAAGCCAACCGTATCAACTCAACACACCTACATGTTTACTTTTTAAAAAATTAAAAGATAAATCATAATCTCATAATTGTATCTCGATTCCCTTTAATCTATGATGTTGCCGATAAGTAATAGCATCGGATATTTTCTTTCACAATCACATTATGCTATACTTAGTATTTTTTCCCTACTCGGACAATCATGTTACATAATGCATAAAAATGCAATAAAATTCTTTAGTTTTTCGTTGATTCATCTCTGTTAACATAATTTTATTTGTTAGTCAATAGTTTTTGTGATATAAAGTTATTTTAGTTTTTCTAATCTAACTAGGCCCAAAACTCGAACAATTTTTTTTAAAAAAAAAATCAATTTGTACAAAAGTTCAAATCGACTAACTTGGTTCGGTTTAAGAGCTAAAATGAGTTGATTTGGGTTGAAATTCACCCAAACCAACTAATTTGATTTTTGTTTCAGGTTGGAGTCGAAATCTACTATAATTAAATCGCGCCCAGGCGTAGCTATAGGAATAACTTAGGCCCTGTTCTCTTTACCGTTTTCGGGTCGTTTTCTGTTTTCGATTTTTCAAAACGGTGAAAACGCGTTCTCTTTCCCGTTTTCGAAAACGAATTTTCGAAAACGAAAAAAAATTTGTGAAGAAAACACAAAACGACTTTTTTGTCGTTTTGGGCGTTTTCAGTGTAAAACTTGAAAAAATTGAAAACGCGGGAAACACTTTTTTTTTTTTTTTATAATTCAATGATAAGCGCATCTCAATTGCACGAGTAGTAACTATTTTACTATTGTAACTTCAAAAAATATATAGGATTGTCATGATTCCGGAACTAACCATACTGATTGGTCACGTCTTGCTCTTATTCAACTTCCAATTGGCATTGTTTATCCAACGTCCATGAGAAATCTTGAATAGAAATTAATGTCGATGTCTAGGGTATACCATAAATATGATGACGGAACCACTTGGTGGAGGTCAGTCATTGCTTAGCCATCTTGGAGTGACCTAATGGCAAGTAAATGTATTAATTCATGTGGGGCGCTAAGTCAACCAAGCATGGACTGACATTTGATCGTACAGAAATGACAAGGCCCAAGTCCATGATCACTAAGGGTAAGCATTTTTACCCCGAATTACATTACAATTTAATTGAGCTAGTCGAATCAAATCATTATGATTGTTATTTTAGATTGGTTTAGAGGGGAATGATAAGTAATATAAGTAAAGGTAATAGGGTATACATAATATGTTAGTAAAAATAAAGTTTGATTAGATTATAAACAATTATAAACTACGCAAAGCATGCACATACATAAATGTAAGAGAAATAAATTATTTGCCAATCATAAATTTGATGGTGTATTTTATATTGATTCAAAAAATATTTTTTATGTTTTGTAAATAAATTTAATTAAAAAGAAAAAAAAAGTCTTAATAGGCCCATTAGCCCAGTCCAAGAGCGGCCCAAATAGTTTTGTTTCAAACAAAAATTGTCCTTTACCAAATCACACCCGCCGCGACCGCCGCCACCTGTTCTTGTTTTTTGCTCAGGTACGACGGACCAACAGTGCTTATATATATGAAGGTGTGTATTCATATACTTATTTGTTTGCATTTATTGAATTTTTGGTGGTTAATTTTCGATTTCTGCATTCATTGCAGTTAATTTGGTGACTGCACTTTTGGCGACTACTATTCGAGCTATTTGAATGGAACTGGGAGCTTGTTTTAGGGGTTTGAATTTCAATCGAACGACGCCGTACTGCATCGCAGCACACCAACATTCGATTAAATGTTGGCGTCCTTGTAATAATAATGCTTCAAGCGCTTCGTTTCAAGCTCGTAGAAGTTGTTGTACTGCCACTGTTAAAGAGACCAATAGCAGCACTGTTGCCGTAGAAAAGGTAAATTTTTAATTTTATTTCGAAGTACCCACCATATTATGTATAATTGGACTTCACAAATATTGTTACTGAGTATTTTTACCTTTCTTTTTTGTTTGAATATAATGTATTTGATATGCTCAGTGAAATAGCTTATAAAACTATGTACTTTTTGATGTTAATGAGGGGCCTTTTCCCTCAGGGCCTCAGCTTGGTAGCCTTGCACTATAAATGATTCAGTATGGAAGTGCTTATTTTTGTTCAGTTTTATGAGATTGAAATGAGTTGGGTGAAATCAACTGGATACTGATAATGTGATTTGGCTTATGAAATGATGAAAGAGATCTCTCTCCGTTACGACTTTCCCACTAGTACAAATAATGACATTGATATTGCTCAATGGGACGAATGATAGTACTTTGTCATGCATACTAACACTGAGTGACAGCTGATTAAAGCATGTGATGTAAGTCGGATGCATTGATCATAATAACTATGTTTTTACTATGTTGGACTCATAGTACAATCCAAACACCTAATTTGCGAAGAATCTTAGCAAATCTAGAATTTCTTTTGTTAATATGACTGCATTTGTGTGGGGCGTAATATGTCTATTTTATTTCTTTCTTTCTTTCTTTTTTTTTTTTTCCTTTTTTTAAAATCAGAAACTCCACATTAAGTTATTTCTTCTATTAGTTAATGAGAACTCTGAGAAAGGCTGTTATATACCTATCCTAGTTTCTGATTCTTGTGGGTTGTCAAGGTTTGTTAGTCAAGTGGTTTCAAAATAGTACTACGTTTTTCAGGTAAAAGCTATGTCTCCTGATTATTCTTGGGATGCGGAGCTCTCATGTTTAACTGCTCTATGTCCACTGGATGGTCGTTATTGGGCTAAAGTCAAGGAATTGTCTCCATTTATGAGTGAGTTTGGCCTAATTAGGTTTCGAGTTTTAGTCGAGGTATAGTTCTCATCCAAAATCTTTTGCTTCATGTTGTTGAACAATTATGTTCTTTCATTTTATCTTGTGGCAATAACTGCAATAATAGCAAAATGTTAAATAGCTACAAATGCATGGTAAAAGATGACTTTAATGCTAGTTAGTATTTTATAAGAAATATGTTCTTGGCAGATTAAGTGGTTGATAAAGTTGTCCCAAATTCCTGACGTTCCTGAAGTCCCAAGGTTCTCTGAAGAAGCAGAATCCTTTTTGCAAGAATTGATCGACGGATTTAGCTTGGATGATGCCTTGGAAATTAAGAATATTGAGAAAGTGACTAACCATGATGTGAAAGCAGTGGAATATTTCTTGAAACAAAGATGTCAATCACATCTAGAGACAGCTAAGGTACATCTATGCTATCTTTGAATTTTTCGGGTCAACCTGTTTCAGAACAATGGCCTCAACTTGTTGATGATAATTTCATTTTTATTTATCAAAGAGCAAAAATTTCTTTTATTGAGGATGTTTTGTCCTGTGTGTGATCCAAGGTACTCGAGTTTTTCCATTTTGCTTGCACTTCTGAAGACATCAACAATCTGGCCCATGCATTGATGCTCAAAGAAGTCTTAAATGAAGTCTTACTACCAGTCATGGACAAGCTGATTACTGCAATAGCTAACATGGCCACTGCAAATGCTCACATTCCAATGCTTTCTCGAACTCATGGACAGGTAAATTTTATGCACGGACATAGTCTAGTCACTTAAAAGGCTCGCTAGTCTAGTCACTTAAAAGGCTCGCTCTCTCTCTCACATATATACATATGTTGCACATTTATTTGTCTTATCCTTAATACTTTGGATATTTCTTTTTTGATCTTGAGGGATGGTTAAGGGGTTATAGAAAGAATAAACTATGAAAATATTAGGCCAATTTGAGATTGTTCATTGAGTAATTGACCAGGCTATTGAACAGATTCTCTACTTTTGGGGGAAATCTGCCTATTTCTTTTAGCATAACACGATCTCTTGTTTTCAATTTATAATAATCCTGGATGAATTGTTCTTCATATTGGTATTCTGTAGCCAGCTTCACCTACTACTTTGGGGAAGGAAATGGCAATATTTGCATATAGGTTAAGTCAAGAAAGGAGGAATATATCTCAAATTGAGGTTTTAGGGAAGTTCGCTGGTGCAGTTGGAAACTACAATGCACATCTAGCTGCTTATCCAAACATTAATTGGCCACAAGTTGCAGAGGAGTTTGTAACTTCGCTTGGAATAAGTTTCAATCCTTATGTGCCTCAGGTATGTTAGGTAAAATATACTGTTTTCATATTTGTCACAGTCTGTTGATGTGAATCAAAGGATTAGTTTATTTTCTTTCTTTAATTGCTTCATGTGGTCTAATCCTGTGAAATTTAGGACTGCTATTGCAGTCTCCGACATTTTTTTTCCCATTTAATACTTGATTTATTGGAGAAATAGGAGCCCTCCAAATTGAATAATGTTCTTGAAAATACCTTTCATTAGCTTTACTATACCCCTGGAATGGAACCATATTTTGGCTTGTTAAATGACAAGTTTGGTGCAAGTTCACCAAATATTTAGGAAGAAAGAGAAAAAAATCTTTTTATGCAATTTAAACTCGTGTTTTATTTTTATTTTTATGGTCTTTATACAGATTGAACCTCATGATTATATGGCCAAACTTTTCCATTCCATCATCCAGTTCAACAATGTCTTACTGGACTTCAACAGAGACATGTGGGGATACATTTCTTTGGGTTACTTCAAGCAGGTGAGGGATATTTTTAATTGTGCTGGTATTTTTTAAGGGGGAAAGAATTGACATGCTAAATCTGAAGCAGATAACTAAGGCTGGTGAGATTGGGTCCTCAACAATGCCTCACAAAGTTAATCCAATTGATTTTGAAAATAGTGAGGGCAATCTTGGGATAGCAAATGGAATATCATCTCATTTAAGCACAAAATTGCCTGTTTCGCGCTGGCAGGTATATATTCTTTTCCATATTATGAAGCTTGGTAAGTGGATTGTTGAACTGTATACTACTAGCTGCCAATATCGCGTATGATATATTCTTTTTGCAATTCTAACATTGCAATTTGCAAATAAAAAGCATCTAAAATCTGCTGTAATAGGTTTGTGCTTAGTGAGCTTCTGATTTTCATTTTATTCTTATTAATTGCAGCGAGACTTGACTGATTCAACTGTTTTGAGGAACATGGGTGTAGGATTAGGACATTCTCTTCTTGCTTATAAAAGTGCATTACAGGGAATTGCTAAACTTCAGGTAAGAAATATAATTGAATAGCATTGTGTTACTCCAGTGATGGGCAAAATTACAAAAGCAACCAATCAGTAATTCAGAGAAGACCAAGAAATCTACAAGTATTCATATCTAGTGTTTTGAAGTAAACATCTCTTCCAAGTGTTTTTTGTTTCTGGTGTTCCAGTTTGATGCCATTTTTGACGTACTTGTGATCTTCTCTTATTTTTCCCTTTCCCCCTTGTTTCTTAAAAAAGGTTAAATAGAGCAAGATTCAGTTTTTTTCCAGATTCTTGATGTACAATGGTAGCCTGATAAATTGTAGAAACCTGCATCATTTTTGTACTCCATTATTAATGGCTTCCTTTCTTATTTAAATATAGGTTAACGAAGCTTCTTTGATCGAAGACCTGGACCAGACATGGGAGGTTCTTGCCGAGCCAATACAAACTGTATGTACCTTCTGTAATGTTATAAATTCTTACCTCATTAATTATGGAAATTTATAATTGATATTGAGCCATGTTTCGTGCTTTAGGGCCACATGGAAAGTACTGGCATTCCAATTATATCAATTGGCATCCTCCTAACACTTGGCCCTAATACTTTTAACTGCTTTTCCAATAAAGATTACGTTCTTTTTTCAAAATTGGCACCCGTATTATTCTTGCCTTTCATATCGCTAAGATGAATTGGCTCAACAAAGTTGTAAAAAATGTTGAAATTAAGAAATCTTCCCATCTCGTGTTAGCATCTTTCTTTCTTATATTTTTTCTTCTCCTTGTAGGTGATGCGAAGATATGGTGTCCCAGAGCCATATGAGAAATTGAAGGAGCTAACTAGGGGAAGAGCTGTAACGAAAGAAAGCATAAGAGAATTCATTGAAGGACTGGATATACCATTTGAGGCTAAGAAAGTTCTGTTAAATTTAACACCCCATACTTATGTTGGGGCAGCTGTTGAGCTGGCCAAGAACGTCGAAGCAGCAGTGAGTTTAGCCTATGGGGATAAGAACTTGAATCAAATTTAAAGATTTGTGCAAAAAGTTTAGTGGTATTATGCTAAGACTTCATTTGTAAACCTATATGGCATGTTTGTTGTGTACTATGGGAATAACTGACCTTGTGGTGGCAATGTTTTTAACTTTCTCCGATCTCTAGTCGAGTATTGTCCTGACATGCCAATAAGGTTCAGCATTGAGCGTATAATGCATGAAAAATGCTGCTGCATTTTTTAGCAGAAGGGAAGAAAGCTGTTTTATTTTTTTCGTATCAATAATTTGTAAGCACGTATTTTTACTCGTGTTACTACCATATCTTGTAATGAAATTTTGACTATTCCAATTAATTGCCTTGGATTATAAAATTTCTGTTTTGCACAAAGGGCTGTTTCTGTTCATTTTTGAGTTGTCCATCTAATTGCCCCTGTTCTTGATGTGGAATGAGATTTTGTAGTAATTCGCAATTTTGCACAATAAACTGGTGACGTATCATTGTAATTCCTTGGATTGAAAATTTTCCGTTTTGTACAAGGGCTGTTTCTGTGTTCTAGAATTGCATAGTGCTCCTGTGGAATTATATTAATGAATTATTTATAATGATTGCAATTTCCTATCTAAATGTTTTCAAAGTAACATGGAGGTTTTTTTGAGTTCCTCTCTCTTCTATGACATCTCTTCCTATTTACTTGTCCGTTCAAATAGAAATAAAATTAGACACTAAAAAAGTCGTCTTTACTGCTTGCTTGGTTGGGGGGTGGGTGGGTTTAACATACATTCTAAAAATTCAAATTTTCTACATTAAAACTTGTAGCAAGTATATAGCAAGAAACGATGCAACAGGTTAATCTAATTTTTGTCAACAAACTAAATGAACAAATTGGCTTCCAGATTTCAAAATGTGTACCAGAATGATAACCGATGGATATTCTACTTCTTCCCGCCTCCAAAAATAGCAGCAGTGCCCATTTGCTTCATCAAGTTTTGCAAGCCACCCATTTGCATTAACATTTGAGGGGGAATGGCATTGCTCATTTGTTGTGAACTTCTGGTTCGTGTAAAGTTACTCATTTTGCTCATCATCTTGGCAAAACGCTTGTACTCATTGAGCATTTCCATCAGTTCCTTGAGATGATAAATTGAACCTCTAGCTATCCGCATTATCCGTCTGGTCATTGAATCCATCATTGTCATGTATTTTTGACGCTTAGCCTGAATTTCCTCTTCATTGCCATTTGGCATAAACTCTGCATTGAAACCTTGAAGCATCGAAAAAAACTATACAAAAACAAGGATCTCAGTAACAAATAACTGCAATGAAGAAACAGATGCAACTTTCCAAGTGCATGTGCATTGAGCAAGAGTGGACGATACGCTAGATGAAGACAAATAGTGCTCTCTCTAGATACTTTTGCCAAAATAGCCTTCTTCGTACTTAAAAAAGGACAAATTGTCTCTTTAAAAATAGTCTGGCCAAGTTGGGTGAGTTTCAAGGGTTGGAATCACTAACAGACCAACACGAGTTTGGAGAGCAGGACAACTTAGCCAAGCTCTCCCCACAAAGAGTTGGGCAAGTTGGTTTAGAGGAGAAATTCAAAGATAATGCTCATTGAAAAAAAATAAAAATAAAAAACCTGCATCCCAACCGTCCCACTTCCAATCAAATCCCTCAATTAAAGCAACAACGAATAACAATTCTTAAATAATGTAATAACTCATAGCCCCTGTTTGGTTTGGATAAAATTTAGTTTTTTAGTAAATTTTGATAAAAGTTGATGAAATGTGTGGTTGAAAAGCGTATAAAAGTTGTGGATCCCACGAAGTGTATGGTCGGAAAATGAGTTTTAAGAAATGGGGCGAGACAATGGCTTAATTATGAGTTCTTTGAAGTAAATTTAGTGAATTTGGAGACTCAAAATCCAGGAACTAAAATTCAATTGTCTGCTAAAAGTGGCAGGCTTCTTGAACTAAATTTTTACAAAGATCATCAAAATCAATGTAGTAAAAAATGTAGGAAATCAAGAAAAACGTGGTGGAAGGGAAGAGTGGTGTAAAATCACAAAAAATAATAGGCCAACTACAAAACTACAGTAGGTAATTAGTACATACAACAACACAGGCACGTGACAGATCTCGCCAATTGGACCCATTTGAAGTATATACTGAACACACTCGAACATGATCCTCAACGTAAGCTTTCCTTCTTAAAGCTTTTCCAGAAACTCAAGTCCGTTGATCTATTGGAATTAATTCATGAACTTTGTCCATGAATCCAGACAAGTCGCCCATGCCTAATAAAATTGGAAATTGTACATTGCAAAACAGAATTAGCCAAAACATCTACGATAATCAAAGATTATTCATTTGAATAACATTAGAAGTGAAGGTGTATATCCATGAGGAAGGATGCAGACCTAAAAGTCAGCTCACTAATGGTTTGGCATCAAAAACTTCTAATTCCTTCATACGTTCACCTGTTCCAATAAATATCACTGGACTTTTTGTTGCTGCAACTCCAGACAATGGAAATAGAATAATCAAAACTATTTCAACACCACAGCCATGGAGTATAATCTACCCTATGCATAAAGATGACATTTCAGCATTACCATTAGAAAATGAAAAGCAAAAAGAGGTTCAAAACAAGAATATGGTTCCAAAACATTTACATGTGCCACTTGTGATTCTCCAACTGTATAAATCAGGGCTCAGTTGACCATTTTAGTTTACTTCTACAATTAACTCATAAGCATTGGAAGACATGCTGTGCATCCAATATCATTCTTTATCCCAGACAATGATTAAACCCTCGCTCAAAAAACATGTAAAAGTAAAAGTCTTTAGGCTGTTCTCTAGTAATATAGCATCAATACTCAAAATTTCTGACAATGTATAATCTGTTCTGCCTCCAAATGGAATATTTCAAACTGCATCCTTCAGCTACTGAAAAACCTCAATTCCAAAACTGAAACAAACTATTTTGAATCTACCTGATATATACTGAATCTTGAGAAACACAAGACAGAAATCATTTCTAAATCCCTGAAAGAAAGAATACATACATGCACAAACACAAAGGCTAAGATTTGTGAAAAACTCTCCCGAACAAATTTAACATTATACTCTATAAAAAATCTAACACGATTCCACGGGTTTTCATCGCTAGATTGATTTACTAAATTAAAAATAAAAATAATAAAACTAACACTAGAACAGCATAACTGATCACTGTTTTATTGAATATTTGCTTAACTTTTGGTCCAAGTTTTTAGTTCATATCAGGACTGCATAGAGGTATTAAGCCTCTTATGTAATGATAGGATACTTGGTGTATGCACCCACTTGAGAAGAAAATATAGTTTTACGTAAACAATTATTGTTTTCCTCAAAAATTGCAATTCTTCCACAAGAGTAGAAGAATATATTTCTCAAAGATCAATAAAATTGTTGATTTTAAATTTCTTTAAGAACTTCAGTCCTGGCTATTCGTGTTTATCAAATGCACTTCATCACTGAAAAACTTTCTTCGATACAAAATGTTTCTTACAAAGTTCCTTATTGGTAAATGAAAAATTATCGGCGCTAGCCAAAAGGGGATTCTAGCCCATATATGACTGTGATGCATTAGCTCACAAAACCTGCAATAGAATACTGAAAACAGGACCCTTGAAAAATGTAAGAAAAGAATGTTCCACCTTTTTTTTTTTTTTTTTTTTTTTTAGGTAATCAGAAAATTTTTTTCTTTAA